CATTACAAAAAGCAAACAGACATCCCATTGATTGGGAAAAAAAATGTCTCACACAAAACTAGCAATAAAGGATTGATCACGAAGTTAAAGAAAGAACTGATGAACTCAACAAAAATAAACAACATCAAAAAATGGGAAGAAGAGCTAAAAAGACACTTTTCCAAAGATGAAATGCAGATGGCCAACAAGCATAGGAAAGTGTTCAACATCACTTGAAATAAGGGAGATGCAAATTAAAACCACAATGAGATACCACCTCACACCAGTGAGAATGACACATCTTCAAACAACTAGCAACAACATATGTTGTCCAGGATGTGGAGAAAAAGGAACTCTCCTGTACTTCTGGTGGAAATGCAAACTAGTACAACCACTATGGAAATTGTTTGGCAGTTTCTCAAACTGCCAACAATCCCACTCCTAGGTATCTACCCAAAAGACACAAAAACACTGATTCAGAAGGAAACCTGCACCCCCAATTTTATTGCTGCTTTATTTACAATTGGAAAGGCATGGAAACAACCCAAATGCCCAAAAGTAGATGACTGGATTAAAAAGATGTGGTACATATACACAATGGAATATTATTCAGCAACCCCCCAAAATAAATAAACACATGCCTTTTGCAGCACCATGGATAGAGATGTAAAAGATCATACTTAGTGAAATAAGCCAGAAAGAAAAGGAAAAATACCGGATGGTTTCACTCATACCAGGAGTATAAAGGACCAGGCAAGAAAATAATAACAATGAACAACTATATATACCAGAGACATTTTACAGTGGTGGAATGGGGAAAGGGATCAAAAACCATGGGGGAAAGGAAGTGCACTGGACTATGGTGATGGCACACGGGTGATTTGGTGATGGAAAGTCCACAGGGATTACAACTGAGATGGAAAAAGGCACAAAATGATGTTAAAATAAATTTACATTATTAAAAAAAATAATCAGCAAGTTGCAAGATGATCTAATTGGGGGAAAAGGCACATAAAATTACTCATGTTCTGCAGAGACCATCTATTGCAGCAAAGATTCCAAACAACAAAGCCAAATGGATGTCTTGGCCAGCAGGTATCAGCCAGCCCCTTACTCAGCACCCTGAGGCCTTCACAATGGGCTCATAAATGGAGAAACCTTGGTAGCAGAATCAGAGCCATCCATGGGCCCTGCAGTCCATTTCACTTGCCCATGTACAGTTACAACTGGGCATGGGAATTACTGGGAGATGTCTAAGTGGATCTCTGAGCCCCAAACATGTTCCCTTCTACCTCTGTTAGTATTCTGCCTCATGTTGTGTAGGTTGGTTATTGAGGCCATTTGGTTCCTGGCCTGTGGGAGCAGTTTGATTGATGAGATCTACCCCCATGGTAACCTGGAACAAGATACAGATAGAGATCTACCAGCTGGTGCAATGTCCCAGTGTTTGAGAGGTTTGGGATAAATATGAATCTATTACCTCCTCCAATATGACAACTGCTTTCTGTGCCTCCTGGTCTGCTGTCATGAGGACAAAGTGATAGAATGCCTCAGGCCAGAAGCAATTGAGCCCCATAGGAGAGTTCTTCTAAAAGCCCAAGCAATGTAATGATGGGGCAGTTTCAGAGTAGGTGAGTATCTATTTCTGGGGCAATTGGCTAACATAAAGAAGTTAAGCTATAGTATTTTTTAAAAGATGTATTTATTTATGCATACAGAACTGGGGTACAGGCCAGAGGTGCAGGGGCAGTGAGAGGATTCACCAGACAGAGAGGGGAGCAGAGCAGGCCGACTGATGAAGTACACTGCTGAGGGGAGCAGCAAAAGGGTCAGGAGAGGTCTGCCTTGCCATGTGGGTCACCTCCCGGACAGGGATGGAACTGGGATGCTGAAGCGGCTTTAGCTTCTTAGTGTCGTGCTTTAACCTGCTGCACCACCAGGAAGGGCCCCAAGCTATAGCATTTTTCTAACTCAGAGTGTACTGAAACTTTTGAATTCTGAATTATTTTGCCCATGATTTGCAAAGTCCTGGCCATTGAAAAACACATATATTTAATGAGGTACAACTGGAACTTACATACTGTTGTAATGTGACTTTACTTTTGAGAAATGAGAGCAGAAAAAAATAGCTACATGGAATGTGAATAACCATTCTGCCTCAAAGAAAACTGGAAAAATCTGTGTACAAATCCTTGTACACGCCCCTCCTTACATGTCTAACTGTGGGTCCCTTGTCAGATCCCTTGGGTCTTGGAGGGAAGGACAGGCTACTTGAATACCTATGGATCATCTAGACTAGCAGGACATTTCCTGATTTTTGTGGGGTTTTCTTTTAGGTCTAGATAATTTAGTTACTTTCATTATTTTTATCAATTACTTTATTGTTATTCAAACTTATTTCATGCATTATCACATTATAATAAAAAAAAGTGCTAGCAGCCTTCTCTGGTGAGATTGTGTGTTATATTATTTTATTTTTTATTTTTTAAAGATTTATTTATTTGTGCATACAGAACTGGGGTCCAGGCCAGAGGTGCAGGGGTGGTGAGAGGATTCACCAGAGAGAAAGTGGGGAGCAGAACAGGCAGATCAATGAAGTACACTGCTGAGGGGAGCAGCGGTCAGATCAGGAGAGGTCTTCCAGGCCATGTGGATTACCTCTGGGGCAGGGATAGAACTCATGCTGAAGTAGCTTTAGCGTCTTAGTGCTGCGCTTTAACCTGCTGTGCCACCAGGGAGGGCTTTAGGGCTTTGTGTGTTATTTTAGATATCCAATTGGTTTTAATGATTTTAAGTTTCCTTTTCTGAAACATAACAAAAAGAACATATATGTGCTGTGTCAAAAATTTAGAAAAGTATATAGAAATGCAAGTCAGACATAGCCAGAGATAACTGTCCCACACTTTTAACCCAGACTCTTTTGTCTATAAATATGCATATTTACAAAAGCTGGAGTTGTAATATGCATTTTGGAAGGGTTTTTTGTTTTAATCTTACTGAAAAATTCCCATTAAATCTCTGACTAAATGGGCAAGGCTTTGAACACTGCGAAACAAGTAGGCTGGTCCTTTATACCTGCCACTCTCCGGCCTTTGGGCTCTTTTGTGCAAAGTCTAACAGCTCTGACAGTCTGAGATAGCAAGCTCAGACTACCCTAGAAGCTAGTAGGGACTTTAGCAATAGAAACACACTAAAAATACGTGCTATTAGAATATTTGAAATCTGAGAGCCCTTCTGGTGGTGAAACACGTTAGGACGCAGCACTGCAGCTAGCCGCAGCCCCTTCAGTGCGAGTTCGATCCCCGCCCTGGAAATGAACCACATGGCGCCGCAGACCTCTCTTGACCCACCCACTTCTGCCCTCAGCAGTGTGCTTGTCAGTCAGCCTGTTCTGCTCCCCACTCTGTACTGGTAAATCCTCTCACCACTCCTGTACCTCTGGCCTGTACCCCAGTTCTGTATGCATATGTAAATAAATCTAAAAAAAGAACGTTTGGAACCTGAAAGCAGTGAACTGAATTGTGGACAATAGACAGGTGTGTAGAGATGGATGCTTCAGACACAAACCACCGTAGGTGTCCACGTTTACTGGCTGGGCTCTTCCCATGGCAACATCCTGGAGATCTTACCAGGTATGAGTTCTGAACTGTCACTCGAATGTATTTGGCAGAAAGTAAATGTTGCTCGACAGTTAAGGGCTCAGGCTCTAAGCTCATAGACCCTAGCTCAAATCCAGCTCCATTTTACTTTTGGGTGAATTAATTAGCCTCTTTGTGCTTAACTTCTTTTCATCACTTCCTTTACAAAATGGAAATACTATTGTATAGTCTTGCTGTACAAATTAAATGAGAGGGAAAAAAAGAATTAAATGAGATGACTCTTTTGCATGGACTGATGCTAGCATTTTATCATCAGCAGCTAGTCACCTGTGTTCGTCCTCTTGGGGAAGAAAGAAAGCTCAGAACCTAGGCATTACTTTACGCAGCTCTCCTCCCCACCACTCCCACTTGCCAAATGAAAATGCAGTACTTGTTTGTATGATAGCGATGGTTCTTTAAGAGTTTTGCAAAATAGTAAGGAATAAAGAAAAACCTAATTTGAAATAAAACAGCATGTCCTGCTTAGTGAAATAAGCCAGAAAGAAAAGGAAAAATACCGGATGATTTCACTCATAGCAGGAGTATAACAGACCAGGCAAGAAAATAATAATAATAATGAATAACTATATACCAGAGACATTTTGTGGGGGTGGAGTGGGGAATGGGATCAAAAATGGTGGGGAGAGGGAAGTGCGCCCGGACTGTGGTGATGGCACACGGGTGATTTGGTGATGTGAAGTCCACGGAGATTACAGCTGAGATGGAAAAAGGCACAAAATGATGTAAAAATAAACTATTAATATTATTTTTTTTAAAATAAGTCTCAAAACAACAACAGCATGCCCATTTGAAATCTATGTTAAGCGCTTCTCCTGAACTAGCAGGAGTTAAGTAGCCCTGTTGTGCCATCCTGTGGAGAGTAAGGAAAAGGCATGACATTATTCAAAGCCTGTAGACTGAGAATTAAATTCACTAACGGGTTCAGTTGTTGACAAACGTTATCTGCTTTTATAAGAAAAATTAAATTAGAGATATAAACATAAGTTCTAAAAGTAGGCTCCCCAAATCCTTTAAGTTTATGTGATGTGGGTTATAAAGATCATCCAGTGAGGGAAAGAGAAACCAGCCTTTATGGCAACAATTTCCCATCCTCCCCACTCTAACGGCCAACACTCTTTATGCTTATTCTGGTACATGGACTGGGGGGGGGGGGATCCCACAGACTTAGAGTCTTTTCCCTACATACCACAGAACTTTGATTGATCTGACATTTTTCAAGAAAGCAACTACCAGTTCAGATTTTGCTGTAATCAAATTGAATACAGGCCCATGGCCTGTGTGTTTGCTTTGTTTTTTTCTAGTGTATGTGTGTGTTTCCTTTTAAAGTTATTTATTACCTTCATAATCTGTTTCCTTCCTCAGACATTTGTGAAGATGAAGACCATGGCAAACAAATCTCCCCCAAATGTAAGTACAATAAAATCACAACTGGTGCTAGTGCTGTTCTGAGACCTTGTCTTGAGCTTTCTTGAAATTACTATTAAAATTAATCAGAGCAGATATTTTTATTAAATTTATAGGATATACCAGACAATTTACTGTATAAATATTTTACTAACCCAAGTAGTAGTATATTGCAAATAGATGTTATTATCCTCATTTTGGATACAGAAACTGATGCTTAGAGAGGTTCTGTGGCTCACCCAAGACCACACAGCTAGGGAGTGAGAGGCCCAGTGAGAGCTGCGCTCAGGTCTGACTGACTCCAAAGCCCCTGCTCCTGCCTGCCACGGCCAATGGACCGCCCCTTATCACTCGTGCCCGTCACCTGCCAAACCCTAGCCCGAGATTCTGGGGTCTCCCCAGCACTGCCACATCCGCAGTACTTAGGTCTCTTAGCACACACAGCACCCACGCCTCAGCGCCACATAGCCACGGCCAGTGAGTCCAGGAGGAAGGGCTTCACTCTGGGGCCAGAGGATGGAGCAAAAGGCAGCCATGAGCTGCACCTTCCTCCCGATAAAACCAGGGTGCAGACTAAGGGACGTAGTCCTAAGTGTGCAGGTCTAAGGATTCTGGGTTTCTCCCAGGAGCCATGGGCG